AAAAAAAAGCATCGTTTCGATTTTTAAAATTAAACCAAATCAAATTGGTTTTCTGTATATGCATGTGTATGACTAAAACCTATGCTTATATATGTGATGTCTTAAAGAAGCTATATATCTAATAGAATCTATTAAATAGATCAAATAGACAGCTTGATCAAAGACAAGATGATGATTAACGACAACGGCCAAGAAATAGAAAATCATATTTAAGGCCTGGGAGAAAGGCCAAAATGGTACGCATTTTTTGGAGTGAAGCTGACACTAAGAGATCTAACTTATGACCAGTTTTAATCTGAATCTACGTCAGTCACAAGTATTGATTATTTTGGCCACAACAACGCTTGATCATCAGTGAAATTCAATGAAAATTTATTTTGTTTGTTGTGTATTAATTTGTGACTTAAAAGTATCCACAATAACATAAAGTGACTTCAATTCTTTCATTAAATTTTGTTTGGCGTTTGGTTTTGGTTTGATGTTAGTACGCACTTGTGGCCCGTAGCAGGAATTGGCCCACCGCGAAATTGCCGTAGATCGCCCTAAAGCCATCGAGGCCCCAAAAATCTCACATATATATGTAATAAACACACCCTATTTATTCCATTTGGACATTACCTGAAGAATGCGGATTTGCTTAAGGCCTAATTTGAAAGTTAATTTCACCATTCCGGATCTTTAAAAATCACGATCTTTAGATGGCAATCAAGATAGACGAAGATTTATTGCAGTGTAGGTCGTGACCATCAAAAATACCTAAATCGATTGCTAGATAGTTCAAAATCACATCCTGTTGGAATGAACAAATATTAATTGGAAAGAACCAAAGACATCCTGTTGCGAAAATCTAATTATTTTAGCAACCAAAATCTGACAGGCACGAACTTTCTCACGATTTTCCTTGAAAGGAAAATCACAATTCTTTTCTCTTTTTCTTTTAACATTCTTTTCTTCTAAACATTGACCATCCCAAAATTCCTGAACACGAAACTTTTCTGCTATATAAAGGACTGGAAAATGATGGCAAATTCGTCATTTGTTTTGATTATAAAATAATTCTTTTTCAAAATTATGAAATAAAATATTTTGTTTTAATCAACAAGTGTACCATAAAAAAATATTCTTTCTTCAGAACTTATGCTCGATCTCTAGTACAAGAGTGAGAGTGATTGCGCATAGTGGTTTGAAATAATCATCTTAGCTGCAAATTTACCATCAAGATATTGTCCGGATCCCGATCAATTTTGGATAGGCCGTCCGTAATTCGATTTGGAACCGAGCAAATTACAAGCCAGTAGGATTTGATTATCCTATTACTGATCAATCAAACTGCAACATTGCCGATTATTAATCTTGAAGAAAAACAATAAAGCCTACGAAAAAAGGCATAAATAAAAAAAAAATAATAATATAGACCACAATTGGTGAGTCCAAAAATTTAAATTTTTATTATATTTCTTTGTTATTTTAAATTTTCACTTTCAAAAATGGACACAAAACATAATACACGTGCAGCACACCAGAAAGCCATAATTGATGAGGTTGACAGTATCCACAAAGATCTTGTGGATCTGAACAAAAGAATTCAGAGTCACTACGACAATGAATTCATTAGTGAGAAAATGACATTGTTAGAAAAACATTATGAAAGACTGTCTAGTCTGGGTCCAGAAGTAGACGAATTAGTGAAAAAAGGTAAAATCCATACAGACAATCAAGAAGTAATAACAACGTCTCTTCTCCTAATTGGGGATATCCAAAAAACTCTCGCCGCGAGTAGGGATATCCCCTCTTCGGATTCAGAAGACCAAGAGGATGAAACCACAATCACCTCTCAATTTCAACAGAATACGGATTCCCAACGATTCTTTTTCACTCCCAATCTGGAGATAGTGAATCAGAATCAAGGAGTACAAAATCCGACTGTTGACAGGCCAAATATTTTCCAAACACTACCACCTACTATTTCCCAACGACCTAACAATATTTTCCAAACACTAGCACCTACTATTTCCCAACGACCTAACATTACTTTCCAAACACCAACACCTATTATTTCCCAACGACCTAACATTACTTTCCAAACACCAGCCACTACTATTTCCCAACAACCTAACCTTACTTTCCAAAGACCAGCCACTACTATTTCCCAACAACCTAACATTACTTTCCAAATACCAGCCACTACTATTTCCCAACAACCTAACATTACTTTCCAAATACCAACACTTGTAAATAGACCAACAACACATTTCCCAAATAACCCAACACAATATCCAACGCAAACATTTCATTCAAATACAACATACCCTAGTATATTACCATTCCAAGGGGATGGAACAAATCGTATTGAAACTCAATACACAAAACAATTTAATCTAAAATGGGCCGATAAAGTCCCAAAATTTGATGGAACATTCGAAAAATTCCATTCTTTTATAAATACATTTAACCAACACATACACTACACTAACTGTGATGACTGCGGTAAGCTACTACTGCTTAGAGAAAAATTAGATCCAAAGTCGCTAGACTTAATAGCAGGGATCTTAGAACCAAACTACATCGAAGCCTATCGAATTGTAGTTAATTATTACACATCCTCTCATCCGTTACAACAAAAATTAAAAGCTAAAGTCGAGAATCTACCAGAAATTCGAAACTGGTATGATACAGACAAAATGCGAAGTAACTTAGCTATTATTAAAGATGCCTACACAGTTCTANAAAAAAAAAACCGAGGCAAAACTCAATGAGACAAAATCTTCACTTACCGACCATCCATTTTCTATTGATTTTTTTCGCGGGAAAAACAGATTCGATGATCCAAATATCGTCATCGTCATCTTGATCGTCGTTATCCATTGATTCGGTTGTTGGTTGGCTGACCAAATTTGACATTTTCAGCATTTATAACGATTCAAACACCAGAAAAAACGGTTCATTTGGAAACGGATAAAGACAAAAATCGTCGACAAAACTGTTTTTAAATATAAAATTTTGATGATGATGATCGACCAACGAAAAACGAACACAACGTTTTTGACAATTAAAAAAAAGCGTAACATGTGTATCGATCTGACCTGATGACAGGTTTCAATAAATAATGATTTTACAACGTGATTTGGTTTGCCTTTTTATACACCACGACGATGACAAAACACCAGAAAAATAGGCAGGGTCTATCAAATCGCGATAAGAATTTTATCTGCAGTGCGATAAGAACAAGGGATCATACAGGTAAGCTTTGGTTTTTTGGTTTCTAATCATGACTAATCATGGTTATTATTTTGTTATATGGTGTGTGTTGTTGTTGTTGTTGTTATGGTACTGATAAGCTCGTTGGTATGTATGATACACACAAACACACACCAAGTGATAACGATCAATGCTTGAATTTTTATTGAACCCTTCTTCAGATTGTTTTCAAACTGAACAAAAAAGAAAAGAGAAGAGATATCTTTGAATTCTGATTAGGATTTATATCCTCAGGTGTCGTTTAAAAAAAAACACGATTTATGGCATGGTTTAGGCCTTGAACTTTTTTTGACCTGTTGCTGTTGTTGTTTTTTACAAGTAAAAAACAAACGAAAAAAATATGGAAAAATAACACTCGAATCTCTTGAGAAAAACCAAAATCCAAAACCAAAATTCTTAAAAAGAAAGAAAATCACGCAGAACAAATATTCGAATCGAATCTTTTTCTTTCCCACTGTATATCAACAGACAGATGGCAGCACAGCATCGAATTTACACGTGATTTTATTTTTTTTGGTTAGGTTTTAGCGAATCTGATGACCAAACCAGACCCGAAAAAAACAAACAATGGATACAGCTAAACGCCTAGCCTATTTACAACAATTACAAAATCTTTTAATCCAACAACAATCATCATCATCATCAATGAATTCGAATCAAAATGATTCAATGATCAGATTGAATTCATTTTATGGCTATCTGGGTAAAGAAATTTCTATGAAACATAACCTACAAATGTATGTATGTTGCTTTTTGGATTTTTAACTAGCTAAAGATTTACTAATTTTACTTTTTACTTTTCTTTTTTGGGCAGCCTAAATTGTGATCCATTAAAATTATATCGTTGTAAACGTTGTTATTGTCAATATAATTTTCAATCAATTATACGGAAAAATTTGTTACAAATAAAAACCGAATCAAAACAACGTTCGATTTGTTTTCAATGTCCCGAATGTTCATTTAAACGTAAGATAATTTTTCGTCAATTGGCTAAAACAAAATTGGAAAAATATTTGCAACAACTACAACAACAGCAGCAATCAAATGATAAAAAATGATTAACGCTTTTTTTGTAAATAAAAAAAAATGATTTTTTTACAAAATTCAATAAAAATTTTATATTTTTCACAAAATGACCGAAATGTTGATCACTAGATGGCGACACGCTTATTAAAAAATATTTATTCGAAAAAATTCAAAAAATTTTGGCGCGCATATTGCCATATCGGTTTCTTTTTACCTATTTTCATTGAACAATGGTATTTGGATCGATCCAATTTACATGAAACAAGTGTGTTTGCGTCTGTCTGTGTGTGTTTTGTGTCGGTGTAAATGTGTAGGTGGATAGTATTCCAGGCGTCAGCGCAAAACAATATGTCAATTTTTTTGGTTGAAAAAAAAAATTTCCGCTCGAACATTATATAGATGAATTTTTCATCGTCGTCGTGCATGAAAAAAGAAAATTTTCTTCTTCAACCTGATTCCTTTCCATTTCCATTTTCTTTCCATTCCATTTCATTCAATTCATTCGGTTCGCTTCGGTTCGGATGTTCATCAGTTTCGCTATTGAATCAATGTTTTTTCTGAAAGAAAATTATGCTAAAAAATGATAGTAATTTTCAATCATCATCATCATCATTATCAAGTGATGATGATTATACACAATCATTAAATATTGATAATATATTCAATATGACAATGATAATGGATCGACAACAGCATTCAACATTTGTGACAACATTAAAACCATCAATATCTTCAGTATCTTCAGCTTCATCATCGACTGATTCATCAATGATAATCATTACGAATGAAGTAAATGAAGCAGCCGTTATAATTGCCTATTCATTAATCGTAATCATTTCATTGATTGGTAATTCATTGGTTGTGAAAATTGCATTTAGTGGACGATGGATACCAGGGAGGTCACAACGTGCACGTACAACTACTGATGTTTTAATCGGTTCATTATCATTTAGTGATTTAGTTATGACAATATTTAATATACCATTCAATTTAGCAAGAATCCTATTACCATATTGGCCATTTGGTCGTTTATTATGTTATGGTGTACCATTTGTACAAACTGCTTGTGTTTATGTATCAACATTTACAATGGCTGCAATTGCATTACATCGTTGGCGTATGGTTAGTCATCCAACAACCGTTATGTTAAATAAAACAAATCGTTCAATATCATCATCAACAAATCCATTACGTTCATTTAATTCATTACGTCGTACGATAACTATCGTTTGGTTAATATCATTTGGTTTAGCAGCACCAACGGTTGCTTTCAATCAATTAAAACTGGCCAATGTTAATGGTCAATATGTTATACGTTGTCGTGTTGATTATCCATTTATATTCGGTATAAATGCATCATTATTATTAACAATTGAAATATTTTTAACACAATATTTAATACCATTATTAATAACCGGTGTATTATATATGAAAATTGCAACAGTTATACATAGACAAAGTCGTTTTAATCAAATTACTAATACTAATGTTAATAAATATAATGATAAAAATGATGATAATGTGATGACGACAAACCACAAAGGTAGAAATAGTCATGATTTTCATCATTTAAAATCATTATCATCACAAATTGATTTGGCATCGATTACAAATCATCATGTGAAAAATCAAAAACAACAACAACAACAAAATTCAGCAGCAATATCATCCGGTGAAATGTTAAGTACACAAACAATTATGAATGATGATGATGATGATAATGTTGTTGTTGTTGATCGACTAAAACAACAACAACAACAACAACAACAACGACAATCAATAACAACAACAACAACAAATTCACAATCATCATCGATAATAATAAATCCATTTATTTTATCACAACAACAACAAAATTCACAACAACAATCATCAACAACAACAATAATAACACGTATTGGTAAACGTCGAAGACAATTAGAAGTAAAACGAAGAAGAATATTAATGTTATCATTAGTTGTTGCTGTATTTGCTATCTGTTGGTTACCATTAAATCTTTATCATTTAACAATTGATCTTGGTTTTGCTCAGCATCGTTTAACGGTTTTTTTAGTGGTAAACAAAAATTTTTTTTTTTGTTTAAAATTTTAAAATTTGGAGAATTCGTGGATGTTGTTTTTTTTGCTATTGGAAATCCAGTTTTTCGAATGAAAGTTTCTCTGTTTCGATGTCGTTTGAATAACATTATCTTTTTTTTTCACCAGAAAAAAAATTATCCAGAGAAACTGAAAAACAGAGTCGCTTTAGCTTTATATTTGTTTTTCTCTCACTCTCATTCACTCTCTTTCTCACTTTATCATCACCATTCAATTAGGATTTTCTAAAATAGAAACTTTCAATTGTTTGAGTGCAGATGGAAAGAATAAGAAAAATTCCTGTTGATATGTACCGAGAATAAAAACACGAAGAGAAAACTCAATGAAAAGAATTCAATTTGCATTCATTTGTTCAATGTGTATGTGTGTGTGTTTTTCTTATCGAATTTGAAAATGATTGAATTGAATCATGAATAACAGAATGAAAGGAAGAAAGAAAGAAAAATCAATTCGATTAGGCAATTTGTTTGTTTGTTGGAAAAAGATTTTAGTCAGAATCAGAATCAGTGCCAGAACCAGAATCAGCGCCAGAACTAAAACCAGTGAAAATTCATTGACCAAAATTATAACTATAATGATGATAATAATGGTGATAATTTGTAATTTATAAATTATAATTGTACATTATTTATTTATAATTTATAAATTATTATTATAATCATTAATTAATTATTTATTTATATCCATTTTATTATTTATTAATTATTAATCAGATTTGGGTTTATAATTACAAATCCCACAAAAAAAATAATAATTGTAAAGAAAAAAAGTTATAAATATTATTACTATTTCGGTTGATTCTGTTCTGACCAACAACAACAACAACAGATAATAAATAAATTCAATTATAATTGTAATAATCAAATCTATAATAATTCTGGATTCTGGAATTTACAAACAAATTCTTCTTCTTCTTCTTTACAAAAATAATAATTTCTAATTCTGATTGGTTTTTATTCTGTGTGTGTGTGTTTGCGTTTTTCAGATTCCGATATTCTGGATTCTGTATTCTGGACCCTGATTCTGATCATCATTCGATCATCACCAATAGAACCAGATTCTGTTGTTGTTTGTTTTCGTTTGTTTCTTTTTAAATTTATTCATGATCGAAAAAAACAGAATGCAGAAAAGAAAAGAAAAACTTTTCACCTGATTTATTATTCAAATGAATTAACAACAACAGAAACAGAAGAATATCTTTTCTTTTCTCGTTAAAAGAATTTTTATTCTCAAGTTGCATCAGTCGATCGAAAGAAGAAAGAAAATGGAAAAAGAATAAGTTTGTTGTTTCCAAAGAAGAACTTTATAAGTTTGTGAATTCGGATTTTTGGATAAACTTTTCTTTTCTTAGCTTTTGTTTTCCCCTTTTCTTGGAATTTATAAGATTTTTTTTTCCTTTTCTGTTTTTTCGGTTGAAATAAGGATTAAGAAGATAGCCAAGACAATGGAAAGAGAGAGAGAGAGAGAGGGGTGTTTTTTTCAAATTTTTCCCCAATTTCAAGTCGGAATTCTTGACTTTGTTGATGATGACACCAGAGAAAAAAATCCCCATAATCATCCACAGATAAACATACTAACCGAAAACAACAACAACATTAATGTCATCGGAGATAAACTGTCAATATGGGAATTCAGTGATATTAATTTCGTTTGATAAAAAACTGAAAAAACTAATTTTCATCGACCAATTCTCTTATCAATAAATGTGTGTGTGTAAATATTTACCCGAAAATATTACCCGAATCCTAATATTAGTAGAAATGAATCGTTTATCGATTATTGATTAGATCGATTATTGATCGAATTTCTGTTCCTTTCATTCTTTTTAGGGGTATCATGTGATATATTCAATGTTTGTTTTTTTCCATTATGAATATTCATTTTCTTCATTTAATGATACTCGTTTTGTTCATATTTTTTTTAAACACTTCGTTAGTCCCTTAATATTTTTTTTTTTGGGAAATTTTCAATTCAGGGTGCCAAAGGGTTAACAATTCAACAATGACAAGATGAAACGAAATTCTTTCTTTCTTTCTTCAACCAAATTTTTAATTTTTCTGTTGTTGTTGTTGTCAAAATGAAAATTTCTCCCTGATCAAAGTTGTTGTCATGATAAATTAAGTGACAAATGAAAAAAAGAAAAAAGGAAAAAGGAAAATTTAAATGAAGAATTTCTTCATTATCATTCTTATGAATGTATATTTCAAACGAACAAACAAACAAACAAACATCAACCACAACTGATGAAAAGAAAAAAAGTCAGTTCTTCTTTTTGCTTTTTTGCTGTTTTTGCTTCATGAAATGACGTTGAATTTCAATTTACTTCAGTTGAAATTGATTATAAATGAAAATAAGAGAGAAGGAGTAAGAGAAATGTTTTCAATCTACGAATGTTAAATCATTATCAAACATCCACAAAATGTGATAATGTTTTCATTAATGTTTTGGCAGTAATGTTATGTTACATTTATTTGAATTCGATATCGATCAATTGATGGTTGATTTTTGTTCTCTCTCTCTCTCTCTCTCTCTTGATGATTGGCCATTTGAAGAATTATACAATGTTGACACATGCATTTTCCCTGTGTGTATTTACAACCAAACATTTCGTTTTCAGATGTTTTCGTTTGTTTTGATCGGATCGATATTTGGTTCATTCAAAATTCAATTTTCATTTGGCATTTTCCAGTTCATTTACGGTTATCTCTCTTCGTGTTTTCCTTTTCTTCTTCTTCTGATATTCACTTAAGCAAGTGACAAAATTATTTAAAAAAAAAACTACAGGATAATTGTTTTTTTTCGGTTGGTCGATCAATCGACAACAATATTGAAAGAAAGGGAAAATTTCCCAGAAACAAAATTTTCGGAAAAGTTTCTTCCGTTTTTTTTATCTTTTTAAGTTTCTGTTTTTTACTAATTTTATTTTATTTTTTTCTTAATATTTTTCTTCCCTCTCTCTCTCCTCACCAATTTATTCCAACTTATGAAATTCTTGATTCTGTAACTATATATTCATCATTATTCTTTTCGTTGTTGATTCTTGGCCCAATTGGACTTCATCATCATCATCATCATTATTCTATAACCGTTTTTTTTATTTGCGTATAATAATAATTGTCAACTCATAATAATAATAAAAATAATGAAAAACTATCATCATCATCAAC